TTTCACACTAGAAGCCTAAAATCTTCAAGCCAGAAGAGACCTTGGTAAAAGCCCCACATTTTACAGATTGAGATGCAAGCCCAGGGGAGGGGAAGGAACCTGCTGATCTCCACTGCAGGCCGAGAGCACAGGTCCTCCCAGACCCATCCCTTGTCCTTGTTCTTTCTCACTGGGTCCCTGCCCTCAAAGGGACTCACCGTGTCAGAGTCAGAACAGTCTATAGCCATCACCTAATCTAGTCTAGTCATTTTACAGGTGGGGGAACAGAGGCCTAGAGATGAAATGGACTTGTCCCCCAAGTTGATGTTGGGTGGGTGGTTGGACCCTTGAGTCTACCTTCCATTGACCGAGAACTGGCACTCTGGGGCCCGTGGGCCAGCTCACGCTCAGAGACACTTTCCTCTGCCCCCACCCTTTTTGTGTCCCTTGCAGGGAAGGTACACTTAATATTTTAAAAAAAATCCTTATTTCTGCTTTCTCTTAAACAACAACAACAACAACAAAAGACTATTTGGCCACATCGGGCCGATGGTTCCTTACAAGAGTTGGCTGGCACTGAGGCCTTGCAACTACCTTTTGAAAGGTTATACTCCTTCTAGTTCACTTTGTGCTCATTGTTCTCTCCCCACGTGGCTGATTTCATTCATTTTCTTCCTTGGCCCAAAGAGGCATTTGTATTTGAAATCCCTGCCCAACACCACACTCTTTGATTTGTGGTGTAAAACCAAAGCCAAAAAAATAAATCTTAGGCTATTTTGGCTATATGGTAATGAAACTTAAAGAATGCCAAAGAGGGACACGTGGGTGGCTCAGTGAGTTAAGCCTCTGCCTTCTATTCATGTCATGATCTCAGGGTCCTGGGATCAAGCCCTGCATTGGGCTCCTTGCTTGGTGGGGAACCTGCTTGCCCTCTGCCTGCCACTCCCCCTGCTTGTGCTTGCTTTCTCTGACAAATAAATAAATAAGATCTAAAAAAAAAAATAAAGAATGCCAAAGATATGAATCACGATAGGTCAAATTGATCTTAGGGGTAGATGCCATGCCATCTCTGGGGCTCAGTTTGAGCAGCATTACAAGGCCTGTCAACAGCCTGGAGTCCCTCCAGTAGATACACATCCATGTGGACTTGGAGGAACACTCATTTTCAGGTGTACTATTTTAAATGTGAAAAGTCCTGAAAGAATATGAATCTAATCTTTTTCCAATGTAATATGATGAAGGGAAAGACTAGGATCGGGGGCGTGGTGTCTAGTCCCAGGCGTGCCAGTTGCTATGTCCCCTAAGAAAGGTGTTTCAATCTCAGCACTATTGATATTTTGGGCCAGATAGTTCTTTGTTGTGGGGGGCTGTCCTGTACATTGCAGGATGTTTAGCAGTATCCCTGGCCTCTACTCACAAGATGACAGTCGCACCTGCCCAGTTATGAGAACCAAACGTGTCTCCAGACATTGCCAAGTATCCTCTGGGGGAGAAAATCACTGCCAGTTGAGAACCACTATCTTAAGCTGACCAGCTAGGCACTCTGAGTCTTACTTCATCTGTAAAAGTAGGTTCTAATTCCTGTCCTTGTGGTTTTGGTGTGTGTGTTGGGGGGGGGCGGAATGAAATGAGATGATGGATGTATAAGTATGTAAATCCCAGTGTGTGACATATTGGTCCTGGGTTTGGTTGCCATCAATCACAGCAGACTATGGACAGTCAAGCCTTCCAAGCCTGATATTGGGGATGGCAAATAGGCTTCAGAACTAATGGGGGAGACAGCATGATGTACTAATGACGGATGACATCAAAATAGACTATTAAGGCGAGGTATGGTATGTCAGCCCAGCCTTTGAGGCTAAGGAAATGAGGAAATCCCTTTCCACTCATGGCCAGTCTTTTCTTTCTTATGTACACTCCTGGTCATGTAAATATTGTCTTAAAAATGTCCCATCACTCCCCATTGCCTGCGAGAAATTCAGTGGCCTCCAACTCCTGACCGTGACTGCTAGGTTTCACGTTCCCCACTCTCTCTTCCCAGTCTGCACACAGGTGCCAGGTCCCCAGAGTATACCGTGTCCTCTCCTGCCTCCAGCCCTTGCAGGTGCTCTTCCCTTGGATCATGTGTCTTCCCTCCACCTTCACTTTCTGCCTTTTGAAGCCTTGCTGGCTCCCCATGGTTGCTTCCTTCTTTGCTCCCCCAGAGTTGTGTTTACATCTCTATCAAGCACGAGTCATGGTCTGCTTTGGATGACAGATGGCAGGATTCATCTATCTTCCTCCTCTACTATATTCACCTGCCTGGAGGCGGAAACTGTGTCATATTCCTTTCTATATCCCCCAGCCCGTGACATCCTATGGGATACAGAGTAGGTTCTCCACCCATATTTGAAGAGAATTTCCAAGATAAATAGTTGAACCTAAACATAATTTGACCTAGATGCTCAAGTTTGAAATATCTAAGCTCCATGTTTATTTAATCATTGAACAACTATGTATTTAATAGGCCAAGGGGAGCCATTGACCATATTTGAGCAAAGCAATGACATAGTTAGAGCTATATTTTAGGAAAACCTATCTGACTATAGGATTTCTAATGATCATAGAAAATGCATGTTTTTGACTCCTTAAAGCACCCTTCCCCCAAAGTAAGCAAAACAAATCTTAACTATTACAGGTAGGCATTGAGGTTTTGCTAATTAATCCTTGTAAGGGACTTTGAGATCTTCCTCTGAAAGGTGACAGAGAAGTGTGAAGCTTTCAGTGACAGCCTAATTATTATTATTACCAGGCACAAAGTTCGGGGAACTTAAAAGATCCCCAGGTACCATTCAAAATAGCAAGAGAAAAAATATGCAAATGGAGAAATTATATTATAAGAAGGAATCCTGGCATTACAGACTCCTAATGTTGTCAGGGACCTTAGAGGTCTTTCGTGATCTGTTCTCTCACCTCAAGCTGATGCTTACACTCCCTCTAGAATGTTCTTGCTCAATACTTTCTGCCATTAGAGCCTGAGAGTTAAGAGCTTGGGCCTCAGGGTAGAGTTTCCTGTGTTCAAATCCTCATTCTCTTCCTTGTTAGTAGTGGCAACTTGGGGAAATTACTAGGGCTCAGTTTCTTTATCTGTAAAATGGGGGTGAGTTTATCTACTACAGGCATCATTGTACAATTAAGTGATGTGTGCACATTGTCTGGCACATGATAAACGAATAAACACTCGCATTAAAAATCACTTGAGCTAATTAATAGATGTGAAAGTGTGAAGGAAATTAGAAACCATCTGACCTCCAAGTCGTTCCTACTTTTGGAGCTCCATCAAACATGGTGAGCTATTTCTTGCAAATCCCAGCCCTCGTAGCGTCCTGTGAGTGTGTGTAATTGAGCAATCTTGGTGAAGGAAGCGAGGAGCCTTGGGAAGAAATGGCCTAGTCAAATGCCAAAGCAAAATCAGGTCTGTTCTTTCTAATTATGGACAGGTAGAACTTTCCTTTTCCTGTGTCATCATCTGTTGGGTGGGAGTTCTGACCAGGGTCGTGGGTCAATTGGTAACACCCAGAACATTCAAGATCATAGGATGGACGATATGTTGGTCCTGAGGGTCCAGACTCCATCTTAGTACGTCTGTATTTTTATGATTTAGTCCACAGAGCCTCCGGTTTTTCATCTGTAAAATAAGGGTGGTGGCTACTTCACAGGGCTGGTGTGAGGAGAGAGGGAGGTCATACGGTAAAGCTGTTTCAGAAACTGCAAAGTGCTCTGTGATGGTTCGTGACTGTCACTTTGCAGCCCACACTATTTCCCTGAACACAGTTGTTCTCTCTACAGGTTATTTCAGTGGAAGCTCCAGTCCAGGAGGGTCTGTGGAGCTCTCGTTTACATTGGACATGACCAGCACCCAGAGATAACTGAAAGAAGCCTGAATCTTCTCACTAGAATCCCTGCAAAATGACTCATGTAATTGCTCTAAGTATCCTTAGCCTTTGTTGTACACCCACATGATTCTGATGCTATAGACTCCAGTGGCATGCAGGGAAAGTGGGAAGGGGGCCCGTTTTAAATGCCTAGGATTCAGAAGGGACCACCAATTCCACTTGTAAAAGCAAACAGGGACTGCCAAATGTCCAAGCCGAGGCACCTGCCAATCACTCCAGACCCTCTGGTTTGCCTTTCTGTCATTCCTCCCATTAGGGAGGGAAAGGTTTATTTTCCTTTAAAGCTCCTAGGAGGGATTTCTAGGGTCTTCCCCCTTAGGAATTAGTTGTAGGAATAATTGGGCCAGTGGAGTGCAGGAGATATATCCAGCACAGCCCGTGCGCTCCTAGAAAAAGTGACCTAGATCAAGCAGCGGGTGGATGGAGGACTATTGTGGGGACCCCCTGCCACCTACTGACTTACAGCTGAACCCACATTTCCAGTAGCATCTGTGGGGCTGGGAGCTGGGGGAGGGGGCAGAGAGAACTGGGGGAGGCGGGGGAGGGTGATGGGGACCAGGTTGTTCCTTTCAGGACCAGGCTGCCTGTGTCATCCCCCCCAGCCCCCTCCACTCCTCATCTGCACACACAAGAGAGGAGAAGGTGAGGACTGGGGGACAGGGGGTGGTAGGGAGAGGAGGTCAGCCGTGAACTTGAGCTGGCTCGGTTGGGTATTAGCGCCACCCGAGTTTGCAGCCTGTGTGAGTGTGAGGGGGAGAGCGAGAGCAAGGGAGGGAGAGAGAGGCAGGCTGCGAGAGGAGAGAGGAGAGGGGGAGCAAGCGCTCCGCCAGCATGAGGACAGGCTTCTCTTTTCCGTGCTCAGTTAATCTGGCTGTCAGTTGGTGTTAACGCTGCCGTTTAAGTGCTCGGATTCCAAGGGAAACAGACAAACCTCCCAGAAGGAAAGAAGGAAGCAAGCAAGGAAGGCAGGAACTGCAGAAGGAAAAGAACAGGCAGAACAGAGAGAGGAATCAAGGGAAGGGGGGGGGGGAAATACCAAATCTATGACTGGACCTGGGCTTCTTTTTCGCCAATGCAAAAAGGAATATGCAGCACATTTTTGCCTTCTTCTGCACCGGTTTCCTAGGCGCGGTAGTAGGTGCCAATTTCCCCAACAATATCCAGATCGGTGAGTGAGAGGGGCAGCCTGGGGAGGGACTTTCTGGGTCTGGCAAGGGTTTTTTTGGGGGGGGTTGTCTGTGTCCCCCAACCCCCCTCCCCCCGCTAGGGACTGTGCTTGGATAGAAAGCTGGGTGATGATGGAAGGCAGACTTGGACCGCCAGCAGGGGAGGGGGCTTCTCTTGATCAGATGAGGGGCAGAGGGAAGTGTGCACACACATACACATACAAACACAGCTCCACACACACCACTCACACTCTAGGCATGAGCATGTGAAATGGAGGAACCACTGCTTTGAAAGAAAGAAAATTCAGGCTGTAGCGAGGAGGAGAAAAGAGGTGGTGGGTGTCTAAAGGAGTTCAGTCCATTGCTTGATAGATGGTGCCTGATTTCATTTATTTATATATATATATATGTGTGGTGTATTTCTGTGTGTGGTTAGGTATTAAATATGCACATATGTATTTAACTGACTGAGGGGATGATTTCTTGGCTGGGGGAGGGAAAAGAGACCCTCTGAAAGAAGGAGTGTAGGGTGCTGGGTTTATTGCAGCCCCTGAAATAATGCCAGGAGGCCCCCACTCCAAGTCAAGGGGGGCTCTCATTCCTGCCCTGGACACCCCCAGCTGCCCGCTGTCTGCCATGCTGGGCTGGTGGTCCCCAATCCCCTGATCCCGGAACTTCGTAGTCTGCCTCTCTTCCTTTCCTTGCCCCCTCCTCTTAGACGTTCCATCCACAGACATTGTCTACCTTTTACACATACAAACACACACAGACACGTTTCCCTTCCCTCCCCTTAGCTGTCCTCATCACTAGGCTCTATCCTCTCAACTTAAAGGCAGGTTTCAACATGCTTTTTGTTCCCCATTTCCCCCTCCTTGTTGTCATGCTTCTAAAAGGACCCCTCACCCTCCCTGTGTTTGTGGGGCAGCTGATAGATACTGCTCCTCCTCATAATAATGGGTGAAAGCAAAACAATAGGAGCAATAACACCAGTAACAATGCGTGTCCACAAGGGCTCGGGGCTTCAGTGTGACCAGCGTTCCGGCGCTGTGTGTGTCCCGGAATGGAGCTAGCTGCTTTGCTCGGAGGCATCTTGGATGGTTTGGGTTCTGTTTTCTCTCCCTCTTAGGGACATAGCTCCACTAGGGAAAGTTCCTGTTACTGGTAGTTTGTGTTCTTTGTGTGAGTGTGTGTTTGTGGGGGGATATGATACAGGTCCTGTTTTGCTGGGCACACATGTGCTGCAGTACCAGGCTCTTTCGGCCTCTCCAGCATGCTGGCTCCCAGGGTGGTTGGAACAGCCGTGGAGTAACTTGCTTTGTTTCCTGACACCTGTTAAACTATATTCTGAAGTGTGTCTGTGTATATGTGTTAGTGCCTTACACGCAAAACAAAACTTCCTGCCTCGCGAGACACTTCCTTTGCAGCCCCATCTGTAGCCGCCTACCTCCCCACCCCCACCCCTCTCTTTCATTCATTAGGGAGGAGGCAGGGGACAGGGAAGTGTTTGGGGTGTGGTCACCTGGGGGTTGGGGAGGGAGGGTGGAGCATCAGAATCCAGCAGGAGTTTTTTGTTTTTACTCTTTAAAATGGAGGCATATGAACATGTGTAAATCACTTTCTCTTATGTGTAGCATTGTTTATGTTGCTACTGATGCATTGCCCATACTCTGCTGATTGGAAATGCTTGTCTTGAGATATGTGGACTTGCTTTCTCCAAGTGTATTTGTGTATAGCACTATGGGTATAAATGCATGGAGGTGGTTTGTGTTTTGTGTACGTGTATATGATATGTTCGCCCATGTATCTCTGCAGATTTTTCATCATATTTAGCCCCAACTTATTTGTTCAACTGGGAGAACCATTATTTGTTTTCAAATAAAAGGTTGAAACATTAAATTCCAGAACAAATGCTGAAAATATCACTGCCATCAGGTAGTACTTGATTCTACTTGTACAATAGCTAATAAAAGCTTTACAGTCCATTTATTGGTTCTTAAAAACAAACACATGCCCACTGTATAAGAAGTTACAAGTATATTACGTTGGGACTGTGATTCCTGTTGAATCTGAAATAAACTTCTATGTAAACATTCATTATAGTTCGGTCTCTGGAAATAGCTGATTCTAATCCATAGGAATGGAATTTAATTCATTTTACATGTCCACAGTAAATACAAAGGTAAGCCATGTACTTTTGCTTGTTGGAACTAGAGCCCCAACAGGCACCTTTGTTATGCTTTTCACTAGAATAGAATGTTCATACCCTCTTGACATTCTTAAACCCCTACATCCTTGAAGTCCAGGGTTCTACCATGCAAATATACACCAGGGCAATCTCTTATGTAACAACCCATTCCCAAGTAGCTGGGATCATGAGTGTCAAAGAGGAAGCAGAATGTTTGTAAAAATCCAGGGTTTTCAGAAGAAATGAGTAATATACCTCAGAGGTGATAGAATAGTTAAATTGCATTCAGGTCTTGCCAGGTCAAAGACCAAAAATGTCAAAGCAAAGGGTGACAGTGCTGAAGAAGCCCACAGGGTCCCAGTGCTAGACTTCCCCCTGCAACATTTGTTCCTACTACTTCCTGTAAGGCTCTCTAGTGAGGAATGGGTCCAATACAGGAAAAATTAGACACAACGAGGGTTTACGTGAACATAAGAGCCTAGGCCACCTGGATGGTTATAGGAAGGAGGAGGAAGAGAAATGCCGTTCTCCTGTTTTCTCTGACCTCATCTGGGTTGAGGAATGAACAACCAAATGTTTGGGCAGAGTGGTAGAGGCCCTTGTCACATAAAAGCTCATCTGTGGAAGTTTAAGCCTCCATGTCCACGTGAGTCTATTTGAACTCCCCTACCCACCACTGAAGGCTAAAACTAGTGGGTTTGGCATGGAGAGAAGAAAAGGGCCCATCTGGGGTGGGCTGTTGGGGGATTAAACCTGCCTCTAACTCAGACACCATGTTGCATTTTCTTTCCCGTAGGGGGATTATTTCCAAACCAGCAGTCACAGGAACATGCCGCTTTTAGATTTGCTTTGTCACAACTCACAGAGCCCCCAAAGCTGCTCCCCCAGATTGATATTGTGAACATCAGCGACAGCTTTGAGATGACCTATAGATGTAAGTAATCGCTGCTATTCCTGACATTTCTTTCTGCGATCGACCAATGAAAGGAGGGCCTGTGAGTGGGTGGTAGTGTTGCAAAAACCACTTGAGTTGTCGTTCGTCTTCATAAGATAAAGCCCTCCAAGAAAAATTTCCAGGGCCTTTTGAGTGATTCTATCAGTTGGTATTTTAGATCCTGGAATGCTTTAGAAAATGGGTCTGCTTTTTCACTGTCAGCTAACTTTAAATGCCAGTACAATGGGCGCTTGGGTTGACTGCCTCTTCCCTACCTTGGCAAAGGTTTTCTTCTTCAGCTGAGAGTTTCACACATGAGAAACTTCTGAGAGATACAGAATTAAAGTTTCTGACTTGGGAAATGTGGTTTAAAATGCTTACGCCTTTCCTGTGCACAAGTTAAAAGGAGAAAATATACCTGTATTTGATTAGAAAGGGTATGTGACAAGTTGTCTATCTGGTTCCCCACTTTGGGAAATGGCCTGTAACTATTGTAAAGTTGGTGCCTTGATTATTTCCAAAATGCTTTGAAGTGATTGATTGCTTAAGACATAGTTTGTTGGACAGCCTTTGAGAGGTGACCTCAAGAAGGAAAAGGAAGAGAGAAGTCTCTGACATATGAATTGAATACATAAGAAAATATGGGCAACAAAGACCATTTTGAGTTTTTCTGACAACTAGGACTGAAAAGGAGATCTGTGTGGTTGCATGATTGCTATTTGATGACAGATGGAAGCATAAAAATTAATCAGTAGAGACATTTTCCCTTCAGGGATTAAGCTCAAGTGGGGAATTTATGGCATGGAGGTGTGAGCTGAATGGGCAAGAACAATTGGAGACCCCAAACTGGATTAAATTGGCACCATAGGCTTTGTGTGCCCCTGTGGACTTGGTGACTTCTACTGAGCTTTGCATTGTCAAAGACATAGATCACATTTCCTTCATCTCTTTCCCACATTCCCTCATGGTGGGCTCTCAGTGGTTTGAACTGAATGTGCATTATGCATTGAAAGCTCATACTGAGAATTTGGAATTCTCCCTATCCCTAAGACCACTCATAATATAAGATAATGTGCATACAAATTCCAAGAATTACAATTATACGATTCCACTTATTGAGGATTTACTGTGTGTTGAGAACTAGGACAAGTATTTTATAGACAATTACATTAGCATTTATTATCACTTATTGAGCATCACAAAGGCCCCTGCAATGTACTAATTTTCATGTGTTAGCTGATTTAATCCTCACAGGCACCTTGGGGGGGGGCACTATGAGTGGAGGAAACTGAGGAAACTTCTATTTAGGGAACTGAGGCTACACCAAGTTATATAACTTGCCCAGGGTTGCCCAAGAAGTAAATGGTGGTCCTGTGACCCCACGGTCCATGTTCCTGGCACTGTGATAGATACACTGTTTCTTATGGTAGCCTGATCAATTCTGCTTAGATTACCCAAGAAGAAAAAGGGAGTTTTCGGAGACTTTTAAGGCAGTGGCTTGATAAAGCACCTAAGGAGAAAAGCTTATAGTGCTTCAAATTATAACTGTGATTTTACACAGGAGTGGCCCATTGAATAAATAAAATAGCAGTTTTGCATTTTGGTAATGCTGAGGTTGAAAATCTTGTCTACTGTGTTACTCACTATCCTTAAAAAAGAGCTGGAGTTTAATTGTTGAGGTCTGTGTTCTGTGAAACCATCTCCCTGGAAAGCTGAATAATGTTGAATAGGTAACTTCCATTCCTTTTGATATGGCTTAGACTAGGGTCTTTGAAGGGAGGATTTGGGTGTGGGCATCAACATATCTAAAAACGGCCTATGATTATGCATAATATTTTGCATTTATATGCATATGCTAATTTATTTACTGAGGAGCGGCTCCATAGCTTTTGTCATACTCCATAGCTTTTGTCATACTCTCAAAGGGGTCCATTACTCAAGAAGGATTACTTGCTTAAGGAATCAGGAAAAATAAATGGCTGGTGTGCGTATTCACTCATACTGCTGAGAATTGTCTACAGCAGAGCTTGGTGGAATGAGATGTTAACTGCTGTCCTAGTGTCAAGATGTTGACTGGCAGGACAAGATAATAAAAGACAAAAAAAAAAATAGGAAATGTTCTGTGGCAAAAGGTGGTGCTTCTGTATTGTTATCTTAACTACCTAACACTTGATCTGTAATAGGGTTGTTGGCCATTTACTGGGGAGATTGAAATACGATACACAGTGTTATCCATTGTGGTTAGTGAACCTGGAGTGAATGGATCTGGGTTCTTGAACTTGATTCCTGCCATATACCAGTGTACAGGTTTCTATTAATTTGGCCATTCTTTAAATGTTTCTTCAATGCTATGAACTGAGATGGACCCTGGAAAAAGAGATGATAAAAGGCCCTTGCTTTCAAGTAGCTTTTGGTCCAGTGGGGAATGTTGCTGTGGGGATTGTCTCAGAAGCAATAATACAGTCTTGTGCTTAGATCTTTATTTTTTTCTCTTTAGCTCCAAGATCAGAGCCAGTACTGGACAATTTGGGTGGCAGTGGAAGCATTGTAATTCCCAGCCTGCCTGGAAGATTCTCTGTTAGCTTTTATATGAGGCCAGGAAACCTTTTGGGGCTATGTTCTCTATGGTCTGTTGGTTTAGGAAAACTGTACATCTGTACAGTGAGTACATCTGTATTCATTCCCGATTTGAATTGAGTAAAAAATGTCAAAGACAGTAGACAGGTTTTCGGTGGGCTACATTAACTAATCATTATGGAAAACCAAGAAAAGCATCTTACTCAGGTTTAATTTCATGTGCTCTTTTGAAATCTGGACTAGTAGTTACCTTAAATTAACTGCCTCAGTCTTACCTCCAGAAAATAACTAAATATTTGGTTTTCTTTCTTTTTTTTTTTGAATTTTATTTATTTATTTAGAGAGAGAGTGTGCATAGGGGGAGGGGCAGAGGGAGAGAGAATCTCAAGCAGACTCCCCACTGAGCATGGAGCCCTACACACGGCTTGATCCCAGGACCCTGAGATCATGACCTGAGCCGGAAGTCAAGAGTCGGACGCCCAACTGAATGAACCACCCAGGCACCTCACTAAATATTTGTTTTTCATAATTTTTGCTGTTATTTGTTTTTTTTCCAGCCCATTTTGCTATTCACTGTCCCTCCACCAGAGGGTAGAGAAGGGAAGGGAGAGGAAGTATAACAGGAGCTCTTCCTGCTAGAAGTCTTGGCATCAGGGATTCCAGAGGCAAAGTGATGCTTGTAGGGTAGGGGATGCAGGGAAGATGGAAGCGGAGTACTGCTAACACCAGTAGCCAAGATGAGAGTTCTGTATGTCCTTTGCATTCAAGCTTCCTTGCTTTCCTTGTTTGCAGTCAAGGGATAAAATCATTGAATCAGCAAATGCCTTATGTTCTCCTCTGAGCATTCATCCAAGCCTAGAGGGGCAGGAGTTGAGGAGACTGTCCATAGAGATGGTAGTTACTGACCAGCTATTCAGCCTATCTTGGTGCCTTTGTGGTAGGTATAAGTAAAGGGACAGATGAGATGCAGATTGGGGTTTCTGTGAGAGGTGTGAGGAGCAGTTACAACTTAATTCTTACCTTTTCATTCATTCATGCTACACATATATGCCGAATGCCTAACTTTATTCCTCGTGCCATACCAGGTTCTAGGAATATAATGGCCAACAAAGAAGACACAGTCTTTTTCCTAGGGAGGGTTACAGTTTAGCCAGGAGGATCTCAATCTTCAGTGCATATAAAATTCACCCAGGGAGCTTATATAAAGCAAGACTCAGGGATGGATTCTGGACTTAATGAGCAAGAATATTCAAGAGCTGGCCCTGTGGGGATTCCGTAGTAGTTGGTATAGGGATCACACTTTGAGAAACGTTTTAATCTAAAAAGCTTTCCATTGCCTTAGCAAGCATGTTTGAGCCCTTAATCAAGCCCAGACATGGTATTAAGCACTAGAAGCACAGACAACAGTAAAGACATCTTCCCTGCCTGTAGGACTTTATCCCTAGTGAGGCTGACAGTCCTGTAAAGAGAAAATTAAAATACAATATTGTGTTGGAACAGCAATTTGTAGGGAGTGTTAAAGATGCCCTAAGGAGTGGGCGTGACTCCTCAGAGGGTGGTGGTAGAATTGAGTCTCCATGATAAACAGAAGCTTTCCAGGAAGATGGGGTAAGGGGGAAGATGGGGGTGAAGCAAGTGTGTTCTGGGCAGAGGGAATGACAGATGCAAAGGAAAAGAAGATAACTTTACTGTGTTACTCTTTTGCTCTGGCCTCTTGTGGCGTTCCAGGCTGGGCCTCTCATCCATTTGTCCAATACTGCAGAAGGGGTCCCCCAATGGCCATCCATAAGCTAGGTGCAGCACAATATTTAAGAATCATGGAATTTCACATCAAAATTTGGGTATCTTAGGTCTCTTTGAAATTTTAAAAGATGTGGCAATATTGGATCTCACATCTCTGTGGCCCCAATTTGGCTAGGATAGAGGTGGGAGTATTCCATCTAGATGGTTTCTTTCCCAACCAGCCCATTTCTCTCATTTTATTTAGCTGCCTGGCTCCTGGAAGCATTGTGTTTTCAAGCCCCAGTTGGTTTGTCCTGCATTGTTGCCTTGATGTATGTTTATAGGTCAACTCTACCACCAGAATGTGAAACACTGGCCAGAAAGGTCATGTATATCTATTGTTCAGTGTTGCTGAGAACACCCAGCAAAGGGCTATACCCCTAATACAAATGAACAAATATCTCCAGGAGTCAGGGAATCACACAGCATAAAGATGCTGAGAGCCAGGGCGCCTGGGTGGCTCAGCTGGTTAAACCTCCAAGTCTTGGTTTGGGCTCAGGTCATAGTCTCAAGGTTGTGGGATCAAGCCCTGCATTGGGCTCCATGCTCAGCATGGGGTCTGCTGGAGATTCTTTCCCTGTCCATCCCCCCCTGCCATCTCCCACTCGTGCTCTCTCTAATAAATAAATAAAATCTTAAAA